CGGGGTAGTTGTGGCGGGGTAGTTGTGGTTGTGAAGGGCAGACAATAATGCACTATTAACGTGTTGTAAAGAATATAGTGACAAGGGTTTATAATGACCACCACTTCACCAACATTCCTCACTCATCACCATCACTCACAACAATCACTAGGTGCAAAATACATTATAAAAAAAGACTAATTTTAACAAAATTTTGATGATTTTGGAACACGTTGACGGGAGTGGTGACCCGACCATGTACACCACCATGTACACCACCATGTACACGACCATGTACACGACCATGTACACGACCAGGCGCACGACCATGTACACGACCATGTACACCACCATGTACACCACCAGGCGCACGACCATGTACACCACCATGTACACGACCATGTACACGACCCTGTACACGACCCTGTACACGACCATGTACACGACCATGTACACCACCATGTACACGACCATGTACACGACCCTGTACACGACCCTGTACACCACCATGTACATGACCATGTCGACAACCCTGTACACGACCATGTACACCACCATGTAAACGACCAGACATTCACACAAATACACCAAATTCATGTGTGTACAAACCTTCACGTAGTTCACAGCTGGGCTCCAAAGTCCTCACCCCCACACCCCCACACCCCCCTCCCCACACCCCCCCCCACACACCCCTCCCCCACACCCCCCCCCCCCCACAGTCCCTACCACACTGTGGCTAGGAAAAATGGCATCACACAAACTTCCACACGTTAATACATGACAAATATTATTGGATAAAAAGTTTGTTACCAGACTTTGTGTTGAGGTTAATGAGTCGTTTAAACCATGGATTACAATGACAAAACTCCATGGTGGGGGGAAAAAATAACGCCCAGGATTATATGTATCGGAAACCCACTTAAGTCCTTCAATTAAAACAAGCTGTCGAGGCTAGTTACGCTTAACAGTGATATTTTGTTATCAATTCTAATCGTATAAAATATTTTTAATCTTCCTCTATAAATTAAGATATCGAAAACGGAGACATTTATGACTCTAAAAGATCGTTACATGATTCCCATTACGAGCAAGCCGACTATCAACATTACAATAACCGCAGCAAAATCTAAAATGCCTATTTCTAAATAAATGATTCGGAATATTCAGACCCATTTTAATCCAATCAGTCCTCTGCTTATCTACTCAAATCTTAATTTCATATTTTTTTTTACCATGCAAACATTCAACCTTCATCCCTATTTTGTGTTACATTTTCACATTGTGTCACAGGCCCACGAAATAGCCCCATTTCCTATTCAGAAAACTTGCTCTCCACAATTACAAAAACAGGCGGGCGATGTTCCCCGAGTCCCGCCTATAATGTCTTCCACCAGGTCCATAATCCCGCCATATTACTGCCAAGCATTGTTGGGTCACTGCTTGTTACAGTCACCTGTCATTATGGGCGGGGGACCTGCCTCTCGGGGACGTAGGGGGGACCTGCCTCTCAAGACGGAGGGGGGACCTGCCTCTCAAGACGGAGGGGGGACCTGCCTCTCAAGACGGAGGGGGGACCTGCCTCTCAGTGGCGGATGGGGACCTGGCTCTCTGAGAGGGAGAACTATCTCAAACAGGGGGGGAGGGGGAGAGAGAGAGAGAGAGAGAGAGAGAGAGAGAGAGAGAGAGAGAGAGAGAGAGAGAGAGAGAGAGAGGAGAGAGAGAGAGAGAGAGAGAGAGAGATAGAGAGATAGAGAGAGAGAGAGAGAGAGAGAGAGAAGAGAGAGAGAGAGAGAGAGAGAGAGAGAGAGAGGAGAGAGAAAGAGAGAGAGAGAGAGAGAGAGAGAGAGAGAGAGAGAGAGAGAGAGAGAGAGAGAGAGAGAGAGAGAGAGAGAGAGAGAGAGAGAGAGCAAGCATGAGGTAAGGTCCAAATCATCAACCGTCTGGTAACAGCCCATTACGTAGTGTAATTAACTTTCTAGTGGTTTGGGTTTTGTGTCATTATGACTGTGGTGGAGGTGGCCTCCATTTCAAGTTACACTTCTTTACCATTATTACAGCAAATGAACGCTATTACGGGCCTCGGGCTCATCTCCTTACCCAATATTCGGCAGTTCCTGCTCATTCTATTGGCTCTCGTTTGAAATAAGCTTACGCCCTGTTCGTTTAGTATATTCCTACGTTATCTTACATGTTGTGATCATGTCTCCTTTGATTCTAATGCTCTCAGATTGAGCTCCTATTAGCTTATTTATTCTTATTTATGACACAATTTTTTGCCAGATCTATTGACTTTAAGCCTTTATATTTTGCAGCTTGCAAAGTATGGGATGAAGGGTGAGGGGGAAGGCTCGCCACACGCCAACCCGCGCCTCTACAACTCTCCACTCCCTCCAGCACTCCCTCCCTCCAACACTCCCTCCAACACTCACTCCCTCCCTCATGACAGACTCTCACCCCAACATTACAGCACCTCATCCTCCCGCCTCTCTAATTTTCTCACTTTTCTCAAGGGCCAATCATCATTTAAGCCATCAATTACCTTATCTGTAATTAACGTGAGGGGTGTAGAAGGTAAGGAAGTGGGGGGGGGGAGGGGTAAGATGTTAGGTGAGAGGGTAGACAAGGAAGGGAGGAGGACAGGAATGGAGAAGGTAAGGGAGAGGGGGGGGGGTTGAGGTTAGGGGAGTGGGTAGAGGAAGAAGAAAGTATTGGATGGAGTAAAGATGGTAAGGACTGTGAAAACTGATGAAAAGGGTAGATATGGGAAGGTGGAGGATAGGAGAGAGGGTAGGGGATAGGGGAGAGTGGGTGGAGAAAGGAGGAGAGTGGAGCTGGTGGTACAAGGTCGAGGTGGAGGAGGTCTAGGGCTGGTGTGAGGGGTCATATATGTACACATGTACATATATGACTGTACATGTGTCCTATTCATTAACCTCATAATACACAGGGTCTTATTCACCAACGTCACTAAACGTAGTGTCCCATTCTTAAGCATCACTATACATTGTGATCCACTCATACGCTACACTACACATAGTGTTCCATTCATACACATCTTTGTACGTAGTGTCCCGTTTACAAACATCAAGATAAGAAGTGTCCCATTCATAAACATCACTATATACCATTCATAAACATCACTATATACAGTGTTCCATTCGTAAACATCTCTATACACAGTGTTCCATTCATAAACATCACTATATACAGTGTTCCATTCATAAACATCACTATACGCAGTGTTCCACCATCCATAAACATCCCTACACACAGTGTTCCATCATCCATACCATAAGCCACATGTTATTGTATATTTTATGGTTCAAACAACATATTTTTATGCAATTCCGGAAAATTTAATTATAAACGTTGTGTCAAACACCGTAATGAATGGCACCCACTGTGACTGTGTGGGAGGACTATTATGGGAGAGACATGGGAGGGTTGGGTCATGGGAGAGACATGGGAGGGTTGGATCATGGGAGAGACATGGGAGGGTTGGATCATGGGAGAGACATGGGAGGGTTGGGCCATGGGAAGTATGGTGGTGTCATGGGAGAGGGGGGGTGGGGTGACCTCTGAGAGGTCAAACTATCATGACACAATATAACTCTAAGAATGACCATAGTTCCAGCAACTATAAATATGGATGAGTCTCATATATTGGTCAACAAGTCGTCATTATAAAATTGTCAACAATTCTAGTATAATTCTGCTTAAAATAGTAGAGTTTGGTGTGCTTAGGTCAGCAAAAAAAAAAAAAAAAATTACATAAAAAATTATATAAATTTAAAGCATCAATATTGTGCATAAAACAAACCTTTCTGCCTAATATGCGATATAAGCCTTTATTTCAATAAACTACTGACGTGTATATACAGAAATTATATAATCATTTTCTCCTATACTGCAACTGAAACTATATTTCGCATTACCACTATCTAGCATCTGGGTAAATTTGTATTCCTTAATATATTTCATCCAGTTTTATATATTTTGGGTCAACTGGTGGTGGTGGGAGAGAGGCGGTGGAACAGGGCGCACCAACCCATCACGTCCCCATTATCACAAACAACGCATAAAATAAATATTTTACAAACAAATCCCATTGAGCACAAAGACAGGTTTCTAAGTGGAAGAGTTATTATTATATTTGTTGGGGGGGGGGAGGGGGATTACTTAAGTATTTCTTACAGGATCAATAGCTTAGACGTCCCATTATTATATAGGAACATAAGAATAAATGAAAGAGCTGACGGCCTACTTGTCTATAAGAAGGGTTTTCTATTTATATCCCCCCAAACGTACTCATACGTACTGGATTGTCCAACCTTCGCTTGAAACAATCCAGCAATCCCACCTCCACTCTGCCATCCAGTAACTTGTTACACAAATTAAATAATTATGTTAGTCCTCCTCCCTCAAGAGACCCTCAGAGGAACGTCTGAGTTTAGGTATCTTAAGACCATAAAGGTGATGATAGCCAAACAACACACCCCATGATGAAGAAACGAAGACGATTCGGTCCGATTCGATTCGATATCACATACGATTTGATTCGTATGTGATAATACGACTTGATAATGGACGGACCGAAACGTGGTCGTCTCATCTTCTGGTGTTTGGTCTGGTCATCATATCTTCAGCCACGTTATTGTGACTCATCGTCTACATAAACGTGACGATTTAGTAATTAATCAAAACACCTGCAGGAAGTCTGAACATGTACAAGGTATATTATATCAAAATCATGGAAAACTTTACTCTGAAGTTTCTATCAGATTAACAAAGTTGTGATGCCATTTTTTCACTCGTGTTTGGATTTATACCTTTCTTTAATGCTACAGTTCCTTTCATCTTTCATCATTATTCTTATCACCCTCTCTCTCTCTCTCTCTTCTCTCTCTCTCTCTCTCTCTCTCTCTCTCTCTCTCTCTCTCTCTCTCTCTCTCTCTCTCTCTCTCTCTCTCTGTCCCTCCCTCCCTCCACCAAAATATAACATAGTAAACGTCAGGACTCACCCTGAATTTCTCCTTCAAGGCGGAGATGTCAGCGCCCTCAGGTGGACACGGCACGTTATAAAACTCGCCCTCGTCCTCAGTGAGGAACTTGAACCAGCCGTCGACGGGGTTCTTGATGATCTCACTGATCCCAAACGACATGGAGCCCATGAAGTCGTTGCGCGAGGTCCGGTCCCAGTCCCAGCACTCCACCAGGAGCCGGCGGTCCTTGTCCTCAGCCTTCAGCTCGCTGCCAGGGGGGGGCGTGGAGGTGGTAGTGTGGCGCAGTGGTAGGCAGGCACAGGTGGTGGCCAGGCAGGGACGGTGGAGAGGCAGGGACGGTGGAGAGGCAGGGACGGTGGCGAAGCAGGGACGGTGGAGAGGCAGGGACGGTGGAGAGGCAGGAATCACTTATATGCACTATATGAATCTAATATTGCGTAATAGTGGCTTTAGGCATTGTATGTACTAGCCCTATCTATAAACCCATCACTCTTTGTAAAATCTCTTGTATGTATGTACCTTACCTAAATAAACATTTGATTTTGATTTGATTTGATATTATATATATAATTATGTAATGCATGTCATCATGTTGTCTAATCCCATAATTAACCTTTTACAATATACCCGGTAATGTAGCAACGTGTAAATTCTTATACTGAAATTAAAGTTATAATATAACTTAAAAAGGTAATACAATACGTAATGCAAGTAACAACTTGTACATATTAAGCAACACATTAAATTAAGTATAAATTATAATCACTTTAAAACAACAGATGATTTAAGATTATTATTTATCTAAAATTAATGCCCAGTAATCCTGCTCTGGCTAATGCACCATCACATCATGCGATAAGACGAAAAATTCATCTATCAATACTTAGGTCCACGCACACACGCATGCATACACGCGCACGTACACACACACACACACACACACACACACACACATACACCCACACACACACACACACACACACACACACACACACACACACACACACACACTAAAGCCTAAACATATAGAGTGGAAATGATAGACTAACAAACCAAGAACAACTGGAGAGACACCCAACACTGTGGCAATAACAGAAGAGGGGACTAAAACATCAACAATGATCACTAATTCAATATTTCCCCAAAGGACATTAATTTATACAAATGGATACAGAGGGGTGACAAAAATTAGAACAGAGGGAAAAGTGATGATCAGGAGTTTGTACTTAACACACTCCAGAGGTGGCATGAGACGTGTGTGTTTGACTCTAACCCATACAAATGCAAGGTTATGAGGATACAAACGAAAGAGAGAGAGAGAGGACCTGTACAGCAGAACATAATGAAAGGGAGTGAGATTCCAGTGACAGAAAATGAAAAATTCCTGCAGTAGAAAACGCTAATATTATGCCAGAGGCCAATATTTTACAAATATAATTATATCCATGCATACATATATATATATATATATATATATATATATATATATATATATATATATATATATATATATATATATAAGAACGTGACAGTCATATAGAAGTAATAGATATCATCATCATTTGCCATCAAGAAATTGCACTGAATTCTGAGAAAATTCACTAGTTAAACCGGGAGTTAGAACACCGTAGACTTATTTCAGCTACGTAATGTGCTCTGTATGACTAACCATCCTGCGAGATGGGGACTTGTATTACCACTGCTACCTTATTCAATCTTGTGTTGTTGATATCCTCAAAATGCATCCGGAGTCTGCCAGTGCAGACCGCTTATCACATGCCTCTGTATGACTAACCATCCTGTGTGATGGGGATATTTTAGCATCACCTAGTTAGCTTTTTTTGACACACTGTACTCCACTTCATATAGTCTAGGGTAGCTGCACTAATGCAGATGTACCTCATATCTTAATAAAAAAAAAAAAAGCCTATCTGTTCCTAAATGCGTTAGTAAAAAACAAATGCATATCTAGAGTTTGTCAATGGCATGGCCCTGTATGACTAACCATCCTGTGTGATTGGGATATTTAGCATCACGTAGCTAGTTATTGACACACACACTGTACATTCATATAGTCCAGGGCAGCTGCACAAATGCACATGTACCTAAATATGTCAATAAAGCAAAAATAGACCCTCTTGATAATGAGGAAGAATGTTCAAGAATTAACGTTCATATAGGATACAGTTATTAGAGTCTGTGTTTTGCCATATACAAAGATGTACATGTATACATACAAAAAGCTAGCGAGCCACACACACCCACACGCCCACACACACACACACACACCCACACGCCCACACACACACACACACACACACACACACACACACACACACACACACACACACACGCCCACACGCCCACCCACACACACACACACACACACACACACACACACACACACACACACACACACACACACACACACACACACACCCACACGCCCACACGCCCACCCACACACACACACACACACACACACACACACTCACACTACCACACACACCCACACGCCCACCCACACACACACACACACACACACACACACACACACACACACACACGCCCACCCACACACACACACACACACACACACGCCCACCCACACACACACACACACCACAAGCACCTACCATGTCAGCGTCTCATTCCAAACGGGATTAAGAGTAGCCTTAATGGTCTTAGTCTTCATCTTCATGTTGTCGGTGCCAGGGATGAGCTTCATCTTGATGTAAGGATCAGACAGCCCGTTTGGGTCCATTGGGATGAGATTCTTGGCTCCGCGCACTGCCTCCAACAAATAACAGTTAGTATTATTCTTAACAGCTAATTGGTCTTGTTTGGTATTGAGCTGAAGGCCTAACAACCTCATAATGAATCATTACCACCACCACCATAATAGTTTACTGACCTTAACCAGTAAGTATTATTTAGCCTTGAACGTGGCCCAGGACTAAACGTCAACTCTCAGTGGATATACACCGAGAAGGAGCGAATACTTTTCGGTGTATATATCTCTGTATGTTAACTGGCTACCAAAAATGATGTTTAATCTTGAATAAAATTGCTGTTAATCATGCGTTAGTGTTAATGATGTGTTGAGTGGTGTTATTGATGTGTTGGGTGGTGTTATTGATGTGTTGGGTGGTGTTATTGATGTGTTGAGTGGTGTTATTGATGTGTTGAGTGGTGTTATTGATGTGTTGGGTGGTGTTATTGATGTGTTGAGTGGTGTTATTGATGTGTTGGGTGGTGTTATTGATGTGTTGGGTGGTGGTATTGATGTGTTGGGTGGTGTTATTGATGTGTTGGGTGGTGTTATTGATGTGTTGAGTGGTGTTATTGATGTGTTGAGTGGTGTTATTGATGTGTTGGGTGGTGTTATTGATGTGTTGAGTGGTGTTATTGATGTGTTGAGTGGTGTTATTGATGTGTTGAGTGGTGTTATTGATGTGTTGAGTGGTGGTATTGTGCTAAGTTTTAGTAGTTATTGATACTTGCATTGGGAATGATATTACATTTTAGCAGTGGTTGAATAATAGGATGGGTATTGATGTTGAATGTGTCAATGGGGGATATGTGTGCGTTACTGCTGGATTTTAAACATTAAATTGGGAACAAATATACAAATATTAATTGAATCTGCGAGTCAGATGCACAGATACTGAACCCTTCAGAGTTAGAGCTATACCTGAGTGTGCTCTGACATACCATTTTATTGAAGCCAAACTCGGTAGTAATTATGAGAAGACACCAGCTGCCCTTCAGGACTGTACCACCAGACTCGGTACTCTTGGGATGTCTCATTTTGGTGAGAATTTAGGAGTTAACTTTAGAGATAAGGTTTACAAACATTTATAAGCGTAAGTCAGCCTCAGATTTAACAACTGGATGTGTAATAGCTTTGGCAGCATTAGAGCGTCAAAGGTACTCACGAATACCTCACTATGTAGTTAAATGAGGGGAGAAAAGTCCAATTTTTCCCCTCTTTTCAACTCACCATTGTTCCCTTTCCCCTCACCAGACACAACGTTACTAAGGTTTAACATAACAGCATCAGTAGACCTTGAGAACATATTAAGAATTTGCACGATGAATTAAAAAGAAAATTGTCAGAGCTTTAGCTGAATTATATCGTCCACGCTTCATTGTTAATGCTAAAAAAATACATAGCCGGAATGTAACTAATAAGAGCATAGGTCGAAGGGTGAGAGGTGGGAGAACAGTGGTGTGTTGTGGCCAGTAGTTGGACGGGTGACCGCCCCAGCCGGCCACATTGTGCGTTGGCAAGAGTTTACTCTCAGTCGATAACATTCTTGAGACCTGGTGCATATTGTATGTCCGGCTCATGAAATGTACTGATTAAATAAGGCGGGTCCCGTCAGTAACCAGGCAGGGTTAGAGGCAGGCAGACAAGCAGGGCGAGAGGTAAGGAGGCAGGCTAGCCTCCTTACATGCAGGCTTGTAACAAACACACGCAAGAACACGAGCAGGAACAAACACACAACACAAAGAACACGAACAGGAACAAACACAGGCAAGAAATTGCTATAATTCATGGTGAACAGCCCTAGCATGTGCTAAGGAAGTGTTTCGCTGAAACTCACATGAAACCTTCGGAGGCAGAAGTGAACATAAACTTGGAGCTGTGAGAGTGTTCCATGTAGGGTGAGGTGAGGTGTTCCCTCCAGTCGTGGACACTGGGTAACCCTGCAGCCTCACTGGTCGCTGGAGGCAGTAGGCTTGTTGTGGTGAGTCTCCAGCGCCCTCTTGGTCTTGGAGGAGGAGGTAGCAGGCACCTCAAGCTGCATCTTGCTAGCCGGATGACCGCATATATATAGTGCCTTAGCTATGTCTAATACAACTACCATCGTTTCTCTCCATTATTGCGGTGTTGGTGGTCAGAACATCTCTTGTGATAGTTTATGTGTAGAATGCTGTTGTTTTAGATTCAGCTACTGGGAACAAACAGTTCCAAGTAGCACGGGCTATGGTGAGCCCGTAGTGGACTTACCTGGCACAGGAGCGGGGCTGTGTAGAAATTATGTGAGCTCCGATAGAGCCTTGTTGTTTGTACTGGTAGGTGCTTAATAGAGAGGGAGAGGGAGAGAGAAAGGGAGAGATGGAGAGAGACGGAGAGAGAGAAAGGGTGAGAGAGAGAAAGACGGGAGAGGAGAGGGGGAAATAGGAGAAAGAAATTTCGTCTGGATTAGTCCTGTGTAAACATTATTCATTACTTAATTTCAAGGTAATTAATCATTGGATTACCTAATCACAAGCAAATAGCTCAACAGTTAAACTAATTACCCTTTCTAATTACATCACTTACCTATAATTACTAATTAAAGTACCCTAACTAGCAATAATAAAACACGATTGATAATTAAAATTCACATTTTGAAATTCTATAACCATTTAAAAAAATGGTAAGTACTGTATAATTAACCATTGTTAATTATAAAATCACAGATCACAGTTATATATTAAAAAAAAAAAATTTAACTGTGATTTAGCTTAACAAGAGTCGATATGGTAGTTATAAGGAAGCAACGAGCAATTTGAGGAAGGCGCTTGTTAGCGGTGAATACAACCATTCAGTACAACAACACCTCGAGTAATTATGGATGATTGGGACCAGTGGATGCGGCAGAGAAGGGGAACAGGAGAGGGAGAGAAGGGGAACAGGAGAGAGAGAGAAGGGGAACATGAGAGAAGGACTCCACGCTGGAGGAACCTTCAAACATGGGGCTGCCACGTCTATCATAATAGTCCAGAGAACACTGTTGCTCTGTCTTACCTGGATCGTACCTGGAGAGGGTCTCGGGAGTTGTTCTATTTCCCGATAACTTGGTTAAACTTGTGATAACTTGCTGGCTGTTGCTCGCTGCTGCCCTAAGGAATATGTGGGGTATATCTCTTAGTGGATATGCTCCACATATTTACTTCAGCCTGGTTGCCCCGGCACTTCCTTTTAGAACTAATATCATTGGTTCCTAAAGACGTCTACCTTTGTTCCGGCAATAGTTCTAATGCTTGCTGGGAGGGTGTTGAACAGCCGTGGACCTCTGGTGTTCAGTGTTCTTTGATTGTGTCTATGGCACCTCTCCTCCTTACTGGCTCTAGTCTGCATTTCCTTCCGTATCTCTCGCTCCAGTATGTTGATATTCTACGGTGCAAATTTGGAACCTGGCCTTCAAGTATCTTCCATTTATATATTATTTGATTATTATTCTCCGTATTCCCTCTAAATCAACAATCTCTCCTGTTCTGAAAGCGGAAGTAACTCCCTAGTACTACTCAAGACGGGACAGCACCAGTGATGTAAATAGTATTAGCATTTTGTGGGGTCCCTGGATTTGAACGTTCGGGGTCCCTGGATTTTATGGGGTCCCTGGATTTGAACGTTCGGGGTCCCTGGATTTTGTGGGGCCCCTGGATTTGAATAACCCATCCTATAATTTGTCTAGCTGACACTGTTTGCTTGGATTGTGCCCACACCTGCTACTGTGTGTCCACACCTGGGCACACAGTAGCAGGTAGGGCGAGGCATCAGGGCTGAGAGAGACACGGGTGTCATTTACCGCCACTATATACTCACACATGACAATTTAAATGCTTGAAATATTAGGCCAGATCTGATAAATAATTCAAAAAATAATATTAAATTAAAACACGCAACAGGTACAAAAAAAATAGGTTAACGTGTAGAGCATAAAGAGCTAAAACTCGCTTCCCATAGTCTCTCAGTCTGTCTCTTAGTCTGTCTGTCTGTCTGTCTGTCTGTCTGTCTGTCTGTCTGTCTGTCTGTCTGAAAGGCGGGGCCCCACTCTTCAAGGACATATGATGTTGTGTGGTGTAAGAGAGCCAATATTAGATGTAGTGCGAGGCGCCTGCGGAGATGTCTTCTGCTATTATGATGATTAAGGCAGGAGTGGCTTGGTCTCCCAGGCCTCTCCTGCCTCTCCTGCCTCTCCCTGCCTCTCCCTGCCTCTCCCTGCCTCTCCCCTGGCCTGCCTCTTCCCTCGCAGCAGCAGCACCAGTAACAGCAACACGATCACAAAGTTACTTCTGAATACTCTCAATCCCACACTTTCAAACGCCAGGGTACTCATCTAGTTGTGCTTGCGGGGGTTGAGTTCTGGCTCTCTGGTCCCGCCTGTGAGAGTGGAGGAGCGTGTGAGAGGCTGGGAGAAGTGGAGAGACGCGGGGAGAGTGGAGCGAGAGTTTGAGGACTACTTAGCAAGATTACCGGAGATCAAGAGACTGAAAACACACACACACTCACGTTCCTGTGTCCTCATGCAGTCCTTCCGGGCCCTCTCCCTCCCTCCCTCACCCCTCTCTCTCCCTGACACTCTCCCTCCCTCCCTCCCTCACTCCCTCCCTCCTCTCTCTCCCTGACACACTCTCCCTCCCTCCCTCCCTCACACTCTCCCTCCCTCCCTCCCTCACCCCTCCCTGACACACTCTCCCTCCCTCCCTCCCTCACACTCTCCCTCCCTCCCTCCCTCCTCTCTCTCCCTGACACACTCTCCCACCCTCCCTCCCTCACACTCTCCCTCCCTCCCTCCCTCCTCTCTCTCCCTGACACACTCTCCCTCCCTCCCTCCCTCACACTCTCCCTCCCTCCCTCCCTCCTCTCTCTCCCTGACACACTCTCCCTCCCTCCCTCCCTCACACTCTCCCTCCCTCCCTCCCTCCTCTCTCTCCCTGACACACTCTCCCTCCCTCCCTCCCTCACCCCTCCCTGACACACTCTCCCTCCCTCCCTCACCCCTCTCCCTGACACACTCTCCCTCCCTCCCTCGCCCCTCCCTGACACACTCTCCCTCCCTCCCTCCCTCCTCTCTCTCCCTGACACACTCTCCCTCCCTCCCTCGCCCCTCCCTGACACACTCTCCCTCCCTCCCTCCCTCCTCTCTCTCCCTGACACACTCTCCCTCCCTCCCTCACCTCTCTCGCCCTCACACTCTCCCTCCCTCCCTCCCTCACCCCTCCCTGACACATTCTCCCTCCCTCTCACTTGAATAAGTACTTAGAGATTAGATTAACTATTTGAGAGGTGGCGTTGTGGAGAGCATGGTACACGGCCGTTCATGAGAGAGTCCAACACAGCGAAGGGAAGGGAAGGGGGGGGAAGGGAAGGGGAAAGGTAAGGGGGAAGGTAAGGGGGAAGGTAAGGGGGAAGGTAAGGGGGGAAGGTAAGGGGGAAGGTAAGGGGGAAGGTAAGGGGGAAGGTAAGGGAAAGGTAAGGGGGGAAGGTAAGGGGTAGGTAAGGGAAAGGTAAGGGGGAAGGTAAGAAGGAAGGTAAGGAGGAAGGTAAGGGAAAGGTAAGGGAAAGGTAAGGGGGAAGGTAAGAAGGAAGGTAAGGAGGAAGGTAAGGGAAAGGTAAGGGGGAAGGTAAGGGGAAGGTAAGAAGGAAAGTAAGGGGGAAGGTAAGGGAGAAGGTAAGGGGGAAGGTAAGGGGAAAGTTAAGGGGAAGGTAAGGGGGACGTTAAGGGGAAAGTTAAGGGGGAAGGTAAGAAGGTAAGGGGGAAGTTAAGGGGGAAGTTAAGGGAAAGGTAAGGGGGACGTTAAGGGGAAAGTTAAGGGGGAAGGTAAGAAGGAAGGTAAGGGGGACGTTAAGGGGGAAGTTAAGGGGAAGGTAAGGTAGAAGGCAAGGCAAGAGGCACTAGTGTGAGGCCATCATGACCCTTGCGGTGAGGTGCAGTAGAGCCCAGGTTCCTGTCAGCTCCCGAGGGCTCGACGTGTTCACCACTAAGATCATTGTAAGTCTTTACTGACACCTCTGAAGGTCACCCTTAAGCGCTATGTAACACATAACTCAACGGGAACTAATAACTACCTAGCACCCACAGGTGTCTCTACCTAGCACCCACAGGTGTCTCTACCTAGCACCCACAGGTGTCTCTACCTAGCACCCACAGGTGTCTCTACCTAGCACCCACAGGTGTCTCTACCTAGCACCCATAGGTGTCTCTACCTACCTAGCACCCACAGGTGTCTCTACCTAGCACCCATAGGTGTCTCTACCTAGCACCCACAGGTGTCTCTACCTAGCACCCACAGGTGTCTCTACCTAGCACCCACAGGTGTCTCTACCTAGCACCCACAGGTGTCTCTACCTAGCACCCATAGGTGTCTCTACCTAGCACCCACAGGTGTCTCTACCTAGCACCCATAGGTGTCTCTACCTAGCACCCACAGGTGTCTCTACCTAGCACCCACAGGTGTCTCTACCTAGCACCCACAGGTGTCTCTACCTAGCACCCACAGGTGCCTCTACCTAGCACCCACAGGTGTCTCTACCTAGCACCCACAGGTGTCTCTACCTAGCACCCACAGGTGTCTCTACCTAGCACCCACAGGTGTCTCTACCTAGCACCCATAGGTGTCTCTACCTAGCACCAACCTGCAACCAAGGCTTGCTGGGATGGTAGTTGTATTAGACATAGCTAAGGCACTATATATACGCGGTCATCCGGCTAGCAAGATGCAGCTTGAGGTGCCTGCTACCTCCTCCTCCAAGACCAAGAGGGCGCTGGAGACTCACCACAACAAGCCTACTGCCTCCAGCGACCAGTGAGGCTGCAGGGTTACCCAGTGTCCACGACTGGAGGGAACACCTCACCTCACCCTACATGGAACACTCTCACAGCTCCAAGTTTATGTTCACTTCTGCCTCCGAAGGTTTCATGAGAGTTTCAGCGAAACACTTCCTTAGCACCATGAATTATAGCAATTTCTTGCCTGTATTTGCTCCTGCTCGTGTTTTTCTTGCTGTGTGTTTGTCCTTGATCGTGCCTTTTCCTTACAAATCGTTTTGATTGTATTTTTTTGCTTTGTTTACAATTGCGCCGTCGTAGTGTTTTCATTGTGTTGAGGCAATGCACCTCCAAAGGATACCTGATCAACCAGGCTGTGACTCATACGTCAGGCTGCGAGCAGCCGCGTCTAACAGCCTGGTTGATCAGTCCAGCAACCAGGAGGCCTGGTCGACGACCGGGCCGCGGGGACACTAAGCCCCGGAAGCACCTCAAGGTAGCCTCAAGGTAAGGTAGCGTTACCACAGTGTTGCTCTAGTCGCACTCTACTAATATACACTTCAAGATTTGCTGGGTGACATGTTGCAGACTCAAGAGGGCGGGAGAACCCCTACAGCTCCTCACCTTCAGCAGTCAGCTTGTTGCCAAGACAGATGATCCGGAGTTCAATGCGGCCTCTCCTCTCAGTGTGATCACAGCCGCACAGGTTGGGCACGCTCTCTGTGCAACGCTTGTGCACGTTCATGTTGCAAGCTGCAAGGGGGAGAGGGAGAACACATACACATTAGTACGTATCAAAGCGGGTATTTTATTTGACTTTTTTTTGGCGGGAAAATGGTATTTATGAAGACTTGGTTTAAATAGTTGTTTTTTTTTGCATGCGTTGGTGATGATAAAGAGTTCAACAAGTCATTAATAAGGTAAGGTTTAGATCTACAATCTTAGATTTTCTCAGGCGAGTTACGAGCCTACAACAAATTTATCAACTAAGCCTAAAGATGCACATAATCTACGAGACATAAACCCAAACTAGGTTAATGTACTTTATAAAACATATGATAACATACAATATCATATACACTTATTAACATAAAACATATGATAACATGTTTAATAACGTAAAACATCTAACACCATATAACATCTCATTCTTCCATGTCACCATCACCAGGGCTATACTGCTTCACTACCTACATGCATACATGTGTCGGGCTCGTGTTCCTGGTCTCCACCTCTCCCTATCATCTCACCCGCGACTACACTAACGTGCATCTGTCTCTTGAGAAGTATTATTGTAGTGTGGGGGTAGTCTTGTGGTAGCGGGGGTGGTGGTGGTAGTGTAGTAGCGATGGTGATAGAGTGGTAGTGATGGTAGTCGTGTGGTAGCAGCAGTAGAGGTAGTAGCAGTGTGGTAGCGGTGGTAGTGGTACTCACAGGTGCACTTCATTCCCTGGTTCCACACGCCATGCATCATGGAACCACAATGGTCGCAGAAAGTAGGTGTGGTGTAGGTGGTCTCATTCCACTTGTGGGTGAGATGCTCCGATTGCTGTCATTCCCACACACACACACACACACACACACACACACACACACACACACACACACACACACACACACACACACACATCGCCATGGGCACAACAGATGCATAATTCACCACAAAATATCATTTGTTAAGCCACAAAGGTAATTTAAGCAGAACAACACAAGCATCAGCAGGTGTGTTAGTGGCCGCAGGTAAACATTGGCTTGCGTCAAATGGTTAACATTTAACAAACAAAAATGTTAAATAGAAATATTTATGCACACATTTATTGACACAATGGACAATGTGATTGACGCAATAGTAATATCATTACAAAACCAAAAACACAAAACCAGGCAATTGGTACACAAAAGGAAAATGGAAAATTCACTCAAGCAATCAAGATGTTACAGAGGATGGATAAACAAGGGATAAACAAGGGATAAACAAGGGATAAACATGGGATAAACATGGGATAAACAAGGGATAAACATGGGATAAACATGGGATAAACAAGGGATAACAAATAATACAATGTTGCCACATAACAAACGGTGTCAAAGGTGATCCACAGACGGTCCACAAAGTAACAGACATGCAAAATAGGAACAAACAAATATATGTTAAAAAACATGCAGAGAAAATAACATTTACAGAACATTGACATACAAAAAAATTATCTGGAAACAAAACATTTAAAAAAAAACACCACACACACACATATATCATCCATCAATCAACAACCAACTTGTCATCCAAGAATGATGACGCTGCGTGTTGGTACTTAAGTGGAATGCACAAAATATGGTCGATAAACAAAAATAATCCACGTTTTTTTAATTGTAATTTTCAATAGCTCCAGAAAAAACTGGAACAACCAAACCAAGGTTCCCAGGCTTACTAGGCCTAATTTAAATAAATTAAAACTGATTAATGCATTTCATTAATCAATCAGTTTTGACTGAAATGAATTAATCAGTTTTAACATTGTATATTGAAATTTGGTTTCTCACGAGTCGTCATAATTTTAATTACAATCTAAAGTTGGGCATTTATTTTAGTTTTTATTTATTTTAAATTTCAGTTTTTATATATTTTAATTTATTTAAATTAGGCCTAATTTAGTACATGTACTACATTAGGCCTAAACTGGCATATGCTCGGCCTGGGATTGCTTGTTCGGGCCTATGAGAGGTGAGGTACATAAGGTAGTTTGTCCCATCGTTGTTTTGCGCTCTTAAGAGTCGCTATGGTACAAAACGTTAAGCGTTTTTAGTGAACAGTTCATATTATATACATTCCTTCCACAGTTTAGGTACCATAGTACCTGCTGGACAACTGGTCAGGAACACTTAACATAAATGTACCAAAATGAGGCCCTCAGCAGCAAGCCAACATTAAACATGAATTAAACATTAAAAAATTCCCACAACAAGACTCGATCATACATTAAACAAACAAGGACGATACATAAACACCAGAAAGCAAGTATCAAGTATACATAAACTCCAATCATACATAAATTAAAACAAAACATCCTACAAAAGCACCAAAGGCCAACACCATAAACAACAACAGCAAGTAAAAACAAAACAAAATAATTACATTTTTAAATTGACATAAAAACCACTCCTCCCCCCCCTCTCTTTCCCCCATCAACTCAACTTACCTTCGTAAGCACAGGTCAGTAGGAACTCAAATGTGTAACTAAGTACCAATGTACCTATATAGCTCCTAAGTACCTATGCAGCTCCTAAGTACCTATGTACCTATGTAGCTGGGAATTAGCTAAGGTTGACGGTGGTAGAGGCATCTAAGGGGAGGAAGCATCTAAGGGGAATACAACCGTAGCTGGATGCGAAGGAATGTTTATGACAAAAATAACACGTTTAAAGGGGGGTTAAGGGAGGGAGGGAAGACTCTTGAGGTAAGAAGGGGGGTTGGTAACTTAAGGGAAAATGGGTATTAGGGGAAAGTGAAGCCTATTAATATTTTCAAATCAATAGCAATTTAGTTCAAGCTAACTTGTAAAACTTTCTGTTCATTAATACATCCCTTCCACTATTTGGCTAATTTCCTCCATCCCATTCCCTCCCAGCCTAAAATCCCTACCTTCCCTCCCTCCTTCCTTCCTTCCTTCCTTCCTTCCTTCCTTCCTTCCTTCCTTCCTTCCTTCCTTCCTTCCTTCCTTCCTTCCTTCCTTCCTTCCTTCCTTCCTTCCTTCCTTCCTTCCCTTCCTTCCTTCCCTCTCTTCTTCTTCCCTCCGTCTCTCTCTCTCTCCCCCAAGTCTGTGAATGGCCAACACCCTCTAGTTCATGAAGTTATAAATGTCATTTCTTAATTTCCAAAGTTTACCTTCATTTGAAACTTTCAAGTCTCTTTCTCTGCCTTGTTAATTCCCTTTCCCTCCTTACCTCTTCCTTCATACCACCTCTTCCTTCCTTCCTACGTCCTCATCTCCTTTCCTACCTCCTCCTGGTTCTCCAACTCTCTCTCTACCTTATCCTCCGTGTCCTTTCACTTTCCTCTCCCTTCCTGCCTCCTCCACACTGATCCACTCTCCCTTCCTGTTCTTCCTCTCCCTTTCTCGGATAGTAGGCATCCATCAGTCTCAGGAGACTATGGAGTTGCGCTCTGGTTGTCGGTCTGGAGTGGCCTCTCCAGGGCGCAAAGCCAGGGTAGGTTGATTCGGGTGAGAAGCTGTTACCCAGGCAGCAGGTCCCCCCCCTCTCCGCAGGATATTAAGGTGTTAAATAGCACGGGAAACAAAAGGTCGTCACTTACCGTCTGATGTTCCAGAGTGAGAGAGACCACATAGGGGTGTTATTGTCACGTCATACCCACAGTGGGTAGGTGGCTGGGCTTCTTAACTGGGTGCCTAGGTAGGTTTGGGTAGGTGGTTACGTTATTGGGCATTTTATGAGTGTGTGTGTGTGTGTGTGTGTGTGTGTGTGTGTGTGTGTGTGTGTGTGTGTGTGTGTGTGTGTGTGTGTGTGTGTGTGTGTGTGTGATAGGGGTAAGAGTGAGAGAGGAAGAGAGACCCACCTTCACATCTCATGCCCTGGTGGATGATGCCGTAGAGAAGGGAGCCGCAGTGGTCGCAGAAGGTGGGCGAGGCGTAGGTCTGTACCCTGAACTTGTGCTTGGTGCGGGTGTCCTACAGGGAGAGACTACGGTCACTACTCCTCCTCACAAGCACATGGTTACTACTGCTCCTGCTCCTGCTGCTGCTGCTGCTCCACACACTCATACCACCTTACACTACCATCATAATCACCTACTCTTACACCTCATACTACTACTACTACTATGACTACTACTCCTGCTAGCTTGCTTCACATCACTCAAAGTTGTTAAATGTACTTTAAGCAATACTCAGAACTATGAAGAGGGATTGTCATCATTTTAAGTCCTATAAACTTTGGGAGCATACCTACAACCTGTGATATCCAAGGGCCAGGTGAGTACAGAGATATCTTGTGATAGCCAAGGCCCAGATGAGTGCAGATACCCTGTGATAACCAAGACCCAGGTGAGGACAGAGATGTTGGTTGTAATCACTTGAGTGGCAAGCCAGCCAACATGTGCCATCAACAGAACAAACAGGAGGACCGAGTACCAGTTCATATGGCGACCGACAAATGGAGTACTGTACAGGATGTAAATGTACAGGATGGAGCTCGGGAGCTGCAGTTCGACCCAGCATGTATCCTGACGAGTAAATACACTCACACAGGTCCTCAACGCAGCAATCTGCCAGTCAATTTCCCAGACTGTCTGCCATCAACTGATTAAACTATAAATCTTCAATTTCCTTATTTCATTGGTCATCTCCATCTTCGCTCAGTGATTGACCTTCCATCAGTAAGGCCACCACACAACCACCCACCATTGTCAACCATCCACCACACAACCACCCATCATCGTTGCAATTCTTGTTTAATATAGAACCTATATTAATATAGGTAATATTGAACCATGGGCGTGGAAATGCTCTCTCTGGCTGCGTCATATTCCTGTGGGTTCAGGGTGACATCTGGTATATGATGTTAGTATCACATTCATCAAGACTTGGTTTTGATTATCATTCTTCAGTGCAGACGAGGAGTCACAATAACGTGGCTGAAATATGTTGACTAAACCACACGCTAGAAAGTGAAGGGACGACGACGTTTCGGCCCGTCCTGGACCATTCTCAAGTCGATTGTGAGAATGGAAGTGAGAATAGTCGTCCACAATCGACTTGAGAATGGTTCAGGACAGACCGAAACGTCGTCGTCCCTTCACTTTCTAGTGTGTGGTTTGGTCAACATCATTCTTCAGTGTGTTGTCTTTACGACAATGGATAAAAGAACGGCAACCCACGAGGGTTCCTGAGGCTTCCACTGAAACCGAACCAGGGGTTTCACACGATATCCACCCCCCCCACATACACTCCGGCTCTGTTTCCGTCCACTATAGGCTCACCATAGCCCGTACTATTTGCAACTTTTATTCCCAGTAGCTGAATCTAAACACAAGAACAAACAAGGTGACTGAGCTAATGGTTTTGATAAGCCATTCCTGTACCACTCCCGGTGATGTCACAGGAACCCATAATTCATCCAGTCTCTGCGGGTGATGGTAGATACTGCACTGTGACTGGTGCTGTGTGTGTGGAAGTCTCTCCATGAGGAGGTATGAGGCGTGAGCTTGTCCATCTCGCTCACAGCTCCGTCGCCTCATTCTCACTCACACTATCGAGGGGTTAGGACGTAGTAGTCAGTCCAGGGCTCGCAGTTCTCATCACTCCTTAAGTCACAGTACTAATTCTAGAGTACCTCCTGTGAAGTGTTCAAGACACGTGTGGGTGGAGTAGGTAGAGTGGGAGCCGTATTCATCAAGACGGGTGGCTCACCATGTGTGCCTGTGAGCTAGCTCTCACACTCACCACTCCACTCATCACATACCCATCCTCTAACTCATCCCGTGCCCAGTGAGCTTGAGGTGGTATTCTCTAACATTTAGTGCGGCCATTTGTAGAGAGAGAACCTCAGCAAGGTGAATATTCTTACGTTCCTCACTTACTTGTGCACCCAACTATTCCCAGGCATCATTTGGAGCTGCTAATTGTCCTCCACATATAGCAGTTAGGGTTAGGTAGCCGTTCATTGGTGGAAGGTGTGTGAGTGTTGACACACAGGCCCGCGGCCACCTCCACTAACAACACCTTCCATACACACAGTTATCCCAATTTCCATGTGTGTAATTTTCAATTTCTTTATTATGCACCCCATACCCATCCCGTGGGCGGTGGTGGAAAGGGTTACAGAGGTGTGTACATACTTTGTTCTCGTTTTATGGTTAATAAACTGTGTTAAGCAAATGGTATTTCGGGAACTCCCTTCTCCATCATATTTGTACACTTGCCGGATGGGTCCCATACACGGACCTTCCGGCTACACTTGCCGGATGGGTCCCATACACGGCCCTTCCGGCTACACTTGCCGGATGGGTCCCATACACGGCCCTTCCGGCTACACTTGCCGGATGGGTCCCACACACGGACCTCCGGCTACACTTGCCGGATGGGTCCCACACACGGACCTTCCGGCTACACTTGCCGGATGGGTCCCATACACGGACCTTCCGGCTACACTTGCCGGATGGGTCCCATACACGGCCCTTCCGGCTACACTTGCCGGATGGGTCCCACACACGGACCTTCCGGCTACACTTGTCCCGTCAATACATTATTGATGAACAGATTACTCTGGATTTGGCTGCACTATCATGTCCAGATCAGACACAACCTTATCTTATCTCCCCAAGCTTTTGCGTCGTTGGTCTGGCCATTGATGTTATTGATAGCCCCTGTGAGGGGCCAGCACGCCTGGCCTGGCCGCCCCTGTGAGGGGCCAGCACGCCTGGCCTGGCCGCCCCTGTGAGGGGCCAGCACGCCTGGCCTGGCCGCCCCTGTGAGGGGCCAGCACGCCTGGCCTGGCCGCCCCTGTGAGGGGGCCAGCACGCCTGGCCTGGCCGCCCCTGTGAGGGGGCCAGTACGCCTGGCCTGGCCGCCCCTGTGAGGGGGCCAGCACGCCTGGCCTGGCCGCCCCTGTGAGGGGGCCAGCACGCCTGGCCTGGCCGCCCCTGTGAGGGGGCCAGCACGCCTGGCCTGGCCGCCCCTGTGAGGGGGCCAGCACGCCTGGCCTGGCCGCCCCTGTGAGGGGGCCAGCACGCCTGGCCTGGCCGCCCCTGTGAGGGGGCCAGCACGCCTGGCCTGGCCGCCCCTGTGAGGGGGCCAGCACGCCTGGCCTGGCCGCCCCTGTGATGGGGCCAGCACGCCTGGCCTGGCCGCCCCTGTGAGGGGGCCAGCACACCTGGCCTGGCCGCCCCTGTGAGGGGGCCAGCACGCCTGGCCTGGCCGCCCCTGTGAGGGGGCCAGCACGCCTGGCCTGGCCGCCCCTGTGAGGGGGCCAGCACGCCTGGCCTGGCCGCCCCTGTGAGGGGGCCAGCACGCCTGGCCTGGCCGCCCCTGTGAGGGGGCCAGCACGCCTGGCCTGGCCGCCCCTGTGAGGGGGCCAGCACGCCTGGCCTGGCCGCCCCTGTGAGGGGGCCAGCACGCCTGGCCTGGCCGCCCCTGTGATGGGGCCAGCACGCCTGGCCTGGCCGCCCCTGTGAGGGGGCCAGCACGCCTGGCCTGGCCGCCCCTGTGAGGGGGCCAGCACGCCTGGCCTGGCCGCCCCTGTGAGGGGGCCAGCACGCCTGGCCTGGCCGCCCCTGTGAGGGGGCCAGCACGCCTGGCCTGGCCGCCCCTGTGAGGGGGCCAGCACGCCTGGCCTGGCCGCCCCTGTGAGGGGCCAGCACGCCTGGCCTGGCCGCCCCTGTGAGGGGGCCAGCACGCCTGGCCTGGCCGCCCCTGTGAGGGGCCAGCACGCCTGGCCTGGCCGCCCCTGTGAGGGGGCCAGCACGCCTGGCCTGGCCGCCCCTGTGAGGGGCCAGCACGCCTGGCCTGGCCGCCCCTGTGAGGGGGCCAGCACGCCTGGCCTGGCCGCCCCTGTGAGGGGGCCAGCACACCTGGCCTGGCCGCCCCTGTGAGGGGGCCAGCACGCCTGGCCTGGCCGCCCCTGTGAGGGGGCCAGCACGCCTGGCCTGGCCGCCCCTGTGAGGGGGCCAGCACGCCTGGCCTGGCCGCCCCTGTGAGGGGGCCAGCACGCCTGGCCTGGCCGCCCCTGTGAGGGGGCCAGCACGCCTGGCCTGGCCGCCCCTGTGAGGGGGCCAGCACGCCTGGCCTGGCCGCCCCTGTGATGGGGCCAGCACGCCTGGCCTGGCAACACTGCCAAAGCATTACTTCTAATTTAGTGAACTATTACAATGTTGTGGCCGGGAACACGTGCACCTTGGCAACATTTGCTTCTACTAAAACTCCTGCTACACCTTCTTGGGTGGGCTTATTGGCTTGTTGCACTTGTTCTTCCCAGATTTACATATACCTCATCTGTAATATCTATAGCTTTTAAGTTCTTGCTTTGTTTCCCCTTTGTCTATCTGTACTGGTCTATATGTACTGGTCTATGGGTACTTGTCTATGTGTACTGGTCTATGTGTCCTGGTCTCCTGTCTGCTGAGCCGTCATCACCTACACACAGGTACACATTCTCTGCAGTCTTCTGAGCTTTCTAAGTAAGCCTCCATGAGTGTCTCAGTTCTCTGCTGGAAAACTGGTGGGAATGTCAACCTTCCTCAACACATCTTGGTGACATAACCAGCACAGAGAGCGGTTGCCCAATCGATTTTGTTGAAATTATCTTTCAGATTGGCCCCATTTGAGTTTGGCTGAAGAACAGAGTTGGCCTTCGGTGTAGCTGGGATAATCTACACGTTATTGGCATGTTGTGCAAGCTTTTGCTGTAGCCATTTTGTTGTCCACTTCAACTTGAGGAACTGAATTGCCTATTGTTTGGCTGTGGTCAATTGTGGTAGTTGTTGGCAACTGTGGCCAGGGGGCAGCACTGGGTGGCGTTGCCACCTTGGGGGTGCCTAATTTATACTGTTTAAATGGTAGTTAGTATATGTAGAATGTTCTTTTTTTCTTTGGCTAGTTATTCCGACAGATTATGTGACTAATTTTTGTGTGTGACAAGTTATGTCTTAGACACATTTCACTTATTGAAATAAGAGAGGAAATATGGGTCCCTCTTGACCACCAGTGACGTCACACCATGACAAACAACACTTTGGATTCTTTTACATTTAGTTAAGTTTTCTTTATATTTAATTATGTTACAATAATGATTACAACTCAATAGACAACTATGATTTTTTTATGTTTCAAAAGAAATTCGTTGTTTTTGTCTTGGGAATTGTTGTGCTTGGTGAGTGTGCTAATATTGAGACCTCCTCCTGCTCCTCCTCCTGCCAGTACTCATAGTAAGGTTGATCACTATAGTACATATACCCTCCTACAACCCAATTAGAAAGTAGAAATCAGTACTATTGAATTTAGACAAACTAGAAAACGATTTTCTACTTATGTTGCCAAGCCAAACTTAACCTAACCTTCCTGGGCCTAATACACGCTAAAACGGTCATCACCGTAACTTATTTCTCACTGTAACTCACTTTATCATCTCCTGTACTGTCTTTAGTGGCTATATAACTCTAAAGTCCCCAGATTAATAGTAACATTTATTAAATACTTTATCATGGACATTGTGTGTCCTCTCTCGCTTGATACCTGGTTGATGGGGTTCTGGGAGTTCTTCTACTCCCCAAGCCCGGCCCGAGGCCAGGTTGATGGGGTTCTGGGAGTTCTTCTACTTCCCAAGCCCGACCCGAGGCCAGGCGCGACTTGTGAGAGTTTGGTCCACCTGGCTGTTGCTTGAAGCGGCCCGCAGGCCAACATGCCCACCACATCACTTCTGGGTCACTTCTGGGGTGTGAGTTTTCAGTTGCATATAGTCTTGGGGACCATTCAGGCTTGTTCGCATATATATATATTTATATATATATATATATATATATATATATATATATATATATTTATATATATATATATATATATATATATATATATATATATATATATATATATATATATAATCTTAATATACTAATAAGGTTAGGTATGGTCGGTGTTTTCTATGAAGCTTTTCAAGGTAAACTAAAATATTCACAATAAATTAGTATGTCACATATGTACTTATTTAATAAGTCAATATTGACTATAAGAAAGTGCGAGAACGGGTTGCTGGGTGATATATACTCAGCTAATACCTAAGGTTTACAACTGAGGATACCAACTAGAGGTACCCTTGAGGTACACAACTTGGCGTCCATTAGGGGAGATTAAGGGAGTGAAGATGAGGGAGGTGGTGAGTGGGAGATGAAGGTGATGATACTCACATCGGAGTCTGCGCCCTTGTCACGGCCCGGGCACTTGAAGGTGACGAACTCATGACACCGCTTGTGGACCACGAAGCTGCAGACTGCAAGAGTAACACCTGGTTAGTGCCGGCACTCTTGACGCTCTCTCACTCTCTCACTCTCTCTCTCTCTCTCTCTCTCTCTCTCTCTCTCTCTCTCTCTCTCTCTCTCTCTCTCTCTCTCTCTCTGTCTCTCTCTCTCTCTCTCTTACACACACACATAAACACACACACACACACACTCGCACTCGCACTCTCTCTCTTTCTCACACGCACGTACACACACACACACACACACACACACACACTCGCACTCTCTCTCTCTCTCACACGCATGTACACACACACACACACACACACACACTCGCACTCTCTCTCTTTCACACGCATGTACACACACACACACACACACACACACACACACACACATATATATAATACATAACAAATAATGTTAATACAAGAATATTCAACAATAAACTTATCAATAATAGTTTCACAGTACAGATGAGAGACAAAACCTAGACGTCTGTACAGAAATTATTTCAACGTGGGAAGATGGCCGCTATACAACGGTGGCAGCCAACGCTACGGATTCCATAACCTTCATTCAACTCGAGTCCAGGGACGGGGGTTCGATCCCACTCTATGGCTTCAATACTATCAAATATGTACGTGACCTTGTGATTTGACTGTGGTTATTCAACCATAAGGACCTACCAGGAACACCTCTGACAACATCATGCTCTCACATAATGCTAACCCACACCACTCAGGACTTTAGATTTTGAAGAGTTTTTAGATTTAGAAAATTAGGCAGAAACAAATGGGCAAAGTTTCTTTCACCCTAAATGCCCCTTGTTGCCTAGCAGTAAATAGGTACCTGGGAATTAGACAGCTGTTACGGAGCTGCTTCCTGGGTGTGTAACAGTTGATTGACAATTGATAGGCGAGTCGAAAGAGCAAAGCTCAACCCCCGCAAGCACAACCAAGTGAATACAACCAGGTGAATACAACCAGGTGAATACAACCAGGTGAATACAACCAGGTGAATACAAACACCACCACACCAAGTGCAAAACTTTCAGCTGTAAAATATCACTGTTATGTCTTTTGTGGGTAAGTTACATGATAATGGTGAATCAAAGGGGGGGGAGGGGGGGGAAGGAATATAGAGAGGGAGCGGCGAAGAAGAAGAGGAGAGGAAAGGGGGAAGGGAAGGGGTAAGAGGTGGAGGCTAAAGTGGGAAAGGGGGGTAGCAGGTGTGGGGGGGGGGGGCGGAGGAGTGGGAAGGGGAGGGTGAGGGGGATACACGATGGGGAAGGGGAGGGGGGAAGAGGAGAGGGGAATGAGGAGAGGGAAGGGAGGGGAAAGAGATGGGAAAGAGAGGAGGGGGGTACCGGAATGAAGGGCGAGGCAGAGACATGAATTAAATAAGAGAGTTTGCTGCGGCGTCTTCTTTAACCTGTCCCTCCAGGCTTCCACACCCTCCAGGCTTCCACACCCTCCAGGCTTCCCCAGCCTCCAGGCTTCCACACCCTCCAGGCTTCCACACCCTCCAGGCTTCCACACCCTCCAGGCTTCCACACCCTCCAGGCTTCCACACCCTCCAGGCTTCCCCAGCCTCCAGGCTTCCACACCCTCCAGGCTTCCACACCCTCCAGGCTTCCACACCCTCCAGGCTTCCACACCCTCCAGGCTTCCCCAGCCTCCAGGCTTCCCCAGCCTCCAGGCTTCCCCAGCCACCAGGCTTCCACACCCTCCAGGCTTCCCCAGCCTCCAGGCTTCCCCAGCCTCCAGGCTTCCCCAGCCTCCAGGCTTCCCCAGCCACCAGGCTTCCACACCCTCCAGGCTTCCCCAGCCTCCAGGCTTCCACACCCTCCAGGCTTCCCCAGCCTCCAGGCTTCCCCAGCCTCCAGGCTTCCCCAGCCTCCAGGCTTCCCCAGCCACCAGGCTTCCACACCCTCCAGGCTTTCCCAGCCTCCAGGCTTCCCCAGCCACCAGGCTTCCCCAGCCTCCAGGCTTCCCCAGCCTCCACGCTTCTACACCCACCAGGTTTTCACACCCTCCAGGCTTCCCCTGCCTCCAGGCTTCCACACCCTCCAGGCTTCCACACCCTCCAGGCTTCCACACCCTCCAGGCTTCCTCAGCCTCCAGGCTTCCCCAGCCTCCAGGCTTCCCCAGCCTCCAGGCTTCCCCAGCCTCCAGGCTTCCCCAGCCTCCAGGCTTCCACACCCTCCAGGCTTCCACACCCTCCAGGCTTCCACACCCTCCAGGCTTCCACACTCTCCAGGCTTCCACACCCTCCAGGATTCCCCAGCCTCCAGGCTTCCACACCCTCCAGGCTTCCCCAGCCTCCAGGCTTCCACACCCTCCAGGCTTCCACACCCTCCAGGATTCCACACCCTCCAGGCTACCACACCCTCCAGGCTTCCACACCCTCCAGGCTTCCACACCCTCCAGGCTTCCACACTCTCCAGGCTTCTACACCCTCCAGGCTTCCACACCCTCCAGGCTTCCACACCCTCCAGGCTTCCACACCCTCCAGGCTTCCCCACCCTCCAGGCTTCCACACCCTCCAGGCTTCCACACCCTCCAGGCTTCCACACCCTCCAGGCTTCCACACCCACCAGGGTGTGGAAATCGGTATGGACATAGTTTCTTTCACCCTGATGCCCCTGTTACCTAGCACTAAATAGCTACTGGGAGTTAGACAACTGCTACGGGCTGCTTTCTGGTGTGTGTGTGTGGGGGGGGATCTGTTGATTGATTGACAGTTGAGAGGCGGGCCGAAAGAGCCAGAGCTCAACCCCCCTCAAGCACAACTAGGGTGAATACACACACTAAGGAAGGAGGGGTTCGGGGAAGGAGGGGTTCGGGGAAGGAGGGAGGGGGGGGGGGGGTGTGGGGCGGGGGGAGACGAGACACAACCCAGTATAGCACCAGTATCAAGTGTCATGCCCCCCCCTGACACCCACCGTCACTATGTGATGGAGTGCGAAAAGATACGTGAATTCAGAGACAATTCTATAACCAATGTTCCAACGATGTGTAAATATTTCATTCAAAATGATCTGCTACCAGAAATTTTAGCCAAATATCCCCAGTTTGCTAACTGTAGGTGGTAACTGAGTGATTGTAACCTATCCACCGCTGCCCACTGGATGGGGGGCGGTGTGCAGGACAAACATATCAATTGTGATACTAGCTCTCCACATATGTCAGTTGCTTAATTTAGAAACTGTACTTGTGGTCGATCTCGAACCCATTGTTGATGTGACGACTTATACTCAATTTTGTAACTAACTCATCAAGATTGTAACTGGCTTAGCTAAATGAATTGTGGGGTTCAGTCCCTGAGCCCATTATGTGCCTCTGTAACCCTTTCTACTACCGCCCACAAGATGGGTATGGGGCGCATAATAAATGAACTAAACTAACTCCCACTGACTCTCCAATAAATACATTTTCCGTTTCATTAGCCACAAACAATGTGGTGGTCTCTACCTGCCACTCCTGCACGGTGCGTGAACATGTTGTGCGAGAGATGGCTTAGTGCTGCAACTGTTGCTCTGCTGTGATGCTTGCTTTGTGCACTGTTGCTGACCTGTGGCTGTGGGGAGCAAGTATATGCTGGCTCTCAGCCTCCACGTCTTGGCTACTGCTACTTGCTGCTCTTGTAGTACCTTGTGGCTTCCTTGTGGAGATTCTGGCGATCAACAGCCCCGCGCCCCGGTCTCCGACCAGGCCTCCTGGGTGGTCGTCTGGTTGACCAGGCTTTCAGGTTGCTGTACTGGTCAACCAGGCTGAGGGAAGCGGTTGCTCGCAGCCTGATGTATGAATCACAGCCTGGTTGATCAGGTATGTTTTGGAGGTGTTTATCCAGTTCTCTTTTCAACACTGTGAGGGGTCGGCCAGTTATGCCCCTTATGTGTAGTGGAAGCGTGTTGAACAATCTCGGGCCTCTGATGTTGATAGTTCTCTCTCAGAGTACCTGTTGCACCTCTGCTCTTCAACGGGAGTATTCTGCACATCCTGCCATGCCTCCTGGTCACATTTGTCGAATTAATTGAGTAGTATTTGAAAATGAGACCAAAGGTGGCAGCCAAAGATTATCAACGGAAATGTCAATGATTTGTTCTTATATCTGTGACTTATTTACATTTGCAAGTTCCACCCGTGTTCCTTCATTGTGTACACGTCAAGTGAAGACAAACCACTCATTATCGACCCAGACAACTGCCCTTAGAACTGTGTCCATCGTGAACCGCTTTTAAGGCAGCAGCCAAGATGTAAACATCTGTCCTTGTTATGCTGTCTCGTTGTGCTTGAGAAGCCAAGGACCCCACGCTGGGGGTCGTCCCCTGGCGCCAAGGACCCCACGCCGGGAGTCGTCCCCTGGCGCCAAGGACCCCACGCTGGGGGTCGTTCCCTGGAGCCAAGGACCCCACGCTGAGGGTCGTCCCCTGGCGCCAAGGACCCCACGCCGGGGGTCGTCCCCCCCTGGAGTCGGGGTCATGTCACCACACTATATTGACCCCAACAACTCTACTTGTATTTTGAAAAGTAGAGTTATATCTTTGCCAGTTTTACATACAATAGTAATATAAAATGTACGTGTACCTCCCCCCCTCTCTCTCTCATTCCCACATCTGCTACTCTTGTAGACTGAAGTGCTCTTCTGTTCTTTCCTCCGATTATCTTCATAACATTACACTGGCTGGACTTAAACTCTTACAACCATTTGTGTACCAACTTCTGTAGCTTATTCGGGTCCGGCAGCAGCCGTGCATCAGCCCTCAACACTGACGTGCACTCGTGCACTTATATGTGAACATGCATCTCAGAACTTAATTACTAAATTGTGATTAACTAATTGTAATAAAGTAATGATAATTAGAGTAAGAGCCATGCTGGTCGCGGCTCCCACTCTGACCTGGACAACTTTTACTGCCAGAATCCATTAAATAAAACATTTTTAATATTGGGACTCATTCAAATTCCTTCAAATTGCACTTCCTGGAGCGCGAGTGAGAGATGTTCTCCGCAGGAACATATTAGAGGGAGGTAGAGGGAAGCAAGAGGCGTGGCGAACTGTGTAGAGCTGCCTCCTTATCTTGAGGTTATCTTGAGATGATTTCGGGGCTTTTAGTGTCCCTGCGGCCCGGTCCTCGACCAGGCCTCCAACCCCAGGAAGCAGCCCGTGACAGCTGACTAACACCCAGGTACCAATTTTACTGCTAGGTAACAGGGACATAGGGTTAAAGAAACTCTGCCCATTGCTTCTCGCCGGCGGCCGGGATTGAACCCGGGACCACAGGATCACAAATCCAGCGTGCTGTCCGCTCGGCCGACCGGCTCCCTCTCCCTGCTCCTTCATGAGTAGAGCCGCAACAGCTGCTTCAGGAGACAACTCTATAACCATCAAGGGCCCCAGACTCTATAACATCCTCACTCTAAATACAAGAGGCCTTACTAACGGACCTCTTTCTGTGTTGAAGAGGAAGCTTGATATACAGAGCCACCAGCGTATGTGATCAACCGGGCTGTGATGGCCACGTGCAACTGTGAGCAGCGGAGCCCCACAACCTGCTTCACTACAGCGTCAACAGGGAGGCCAGGTCAGAGACCGGGCCGCGGGGACATGGACCCCAGAATCTTCACAAAATAGCCACAAGGAATTCATGAAATAAAAATATGAAATTTCTGATATAAACATAGAGGTGAAGGCGGTAGAGGATGATCTATCCTGAGATGATTTCGGGGCTTAGTGTCCCTGCGGCCCGGTCCTCGACCAGGCCTCCACCCCAAGGAAGCAGCCCGTGACAGCTGATTAACTCCCAGGTACCTATTTACTGCTAGGTAACAGGGGCATCAGGGTGAAAGAAACTCTGCCCGAGACAACTGATTATCTCACAGGTACCTATTTACTGCTAGGTAACAGGGGCATCAGGGTGAAAGAAACCCTGCCCATTGTTTCTCGCCGGTGCCCGGGATGGAACTCGGGACCACAGGATCACGCGTACAGTGTTCTGTCCGCTCAGCCACCGGCTCCCAAACATTACATAGAAACAGCTGCAAGAGGTACAGCAAGAGAAGTAGGCGGGGCTTAAGAGCTACGCCTGACTCCCGCCGGAGACACTGTTAGGTAAGCACTCTTAGCCACCAACCACCACACACTTGTAAACACCACTTAACATCAACTTATCTCAACTAGTGGGAAATGGTTGGTAACACTTACTATTGCACTGGTAACCCTGCTTCCCGAAGCCCCTGTGTGAGGAAAGAGAAAAGTTAGTCTAGTAGGTTATTATTAGTGCTGGTGCTACTACCACCACTACCACCATCACCACCACCACTACCACCATCACCACCACCACTACCACCATCATCACTACCACCACAATTGCCACCGAATACCACCACAACTACCACCACAACATTTACTACCACCACCACCAAGACAACCACCACAATTGCCTATATACCGTCACTCCCACCACCACAACCACCACTACTGCCACCATTACTGTCACTATTACTTCTGACACCATAGTTTAACCCAACAACATAATCAACCCTTCAACTGCTAATGATCACTATCATAAACACAACAAATATTATTAACCAAATATAGGCTTCTCACCAAGTGAAAGTACCTCAACCACTCTCCTATTTCACCCTGAAAAAGGTTCTAATACTTTCACTCCGCGCGAAGCCTCGCCAGCAACAAACCATCGTGGCTACAGCAGGCACAAAAATCAAGGATAATCACATATAAATTATTAATCCTACATAACTAACAATCACATATAAATTATTAATCCTACATAACTAACAATTACAAACATATACTTGTGCCTTGAGTACCAAACCTCCATGAATCTTTTGATGCAGAAACAAGTGCAAAAAATCATACAATGGAAGTTAGCAAGCGTTACTCATACTGTCAACTGAAACAGGAACTATGTTTTAGCGTCCAATAGATAAGCAAAACGAAATTCTTATATCTGGAATCATTTATAAATATATTAGAGGGCGTACAGTTCTTGGAGGGCGCTGGGTGTCGGGCAGGGACCAAGAGGGCAGCGGGCTGCTCTTTGGTCTCTTGCAGCTTCGATGAGCCTGATACCCAGATCCTCGAGGAAGGGAACTATCAGGAGAAAGCGCCAAGTCATTACGTCTATATAGTACTTACAAGGGATCAGGATAAGGATTTGGGATGGGTTACACATAGAAATCACAATAGCGTGATGCATCAATGAGCAAGGATGAATGATGCATCAATTCGGCCCACAAGGGCCGTGACGAAGATTCGAACCTACGTCTGAGAGCATCCCAGACGCTGCCTTAATCGACTGAGCTACGACATGGTCAAAAGAGTTGAAACCAGAAGTTCTACTGAACTTACTTGGATCCTGCAGCCTCTCCGAGACACAAACCAGGGTTTTACACAACTCCCCCATGCACTCGAGCTATGTCAGTAGGCCGTTCTACCTCTTCGTTCTACCACCATGAGTGCCCACCATGAGTGGGCACTCATGGTGGCCACTCTACATTCTACAATTAATTTGTATTCTTTTAATCAGCCTCGAACAAATATGACATTTGGAGAAATCTTCTTCTAGTTAAACCAAGACGCAAGAGCACTTGTCACAGGGGTAGTTCACAATGACATTACTATGGCGTGGTGATATATCAATGAAAATCATTTTGAGGGACTGGAGTGACTTGAACTCTGGACCTGGTGATTCCCAGCCGCCTGCCTTAACCACTCAGCCACGGTGGTACAAGTGTTGACCACGCCAGAGCTACTGTGTCCTCTGGAAAGTTCAGAAGTTCAGGAGGACCTAAACCGGGACCTCCAGAACTACCCAGTGGACTCAGTAGAGTTCTGGGTTGGTCAACCTTTGTATACTCAGGCAAAACCCCTTCAGATTTAACACTTGTCTGATTGTGAGAAGTGAGTGAACAAGGAACAATCTATAGACACTCGAGCAACATAAACACAGCCTAAAGATACTTTTATAACATAAACACAGCCTAAAGATACTCTCATAACATAAACACAGCCTAAAGATACTCTCATAACATAAACACAGCCTAAAGATACTCTCATAACATCAACACAGCCTAAAGATACTCTAGTAACATAAACACAGCCTAAAGATACTCTTATAACATACAGCCTAAAGATACTCTCATAACATAAACACAGCCTAAAGATACTCTCATAACATAAACACAGCCTAAAGATACTCTCATAACATAAACACAGCCTAAAGATACTCTCATAACATAAACACAGCCTAAAGATACTCTCATAACATAAACACAGCCTAAAGATACTCTTATAACATAAACACAGCCTAAAGATACTCTCATAACATAAACACAGCCTAAAGATACTCTCATAACATAAACCCAGCCTAAAGATACTCTCATTACATAAACCCAGCCTAAAGATACTCTCATAACATAAACACAGCCTAAAGATACTCTCATAACATAAACACAGCCTAAAGATACTCTCATAACATAAACACAGCCTAAAGATACTCTCATAACATAAACACAGCCTAAACATACTCTTATACCATAAACACAACCTAAAGGTACTCTCATAACATAAACACAGCCTAAAGATACTCTCATAACATAAACACAGCCTAAAGATACTCTCATAACATAAACACAGCCTAAAGATACTCTCATAACATAAACACAGCCTAAAGATACTCTCATAACATAAACCCAGCCTAAAGATACTCTCATAACATAAACACAGCCTAAAGATACTCTCATAACATAAACACAGCCTAAAGATACTCTCATAACATAAACACAGCCTAAAGATACTCTCATAACATAAACACAGCCTAAAGATACTCTCATAACATAAACACAGCCTAAAGATACTCTCATAACATAAACACAGCCTAAAGATACTCTCATAACATAAACACAGCCTAAAGATACTCTCATAACATAAACACAGCCTAAAGATACTCTCATAACATAAACACAGCCTAAAGATACTCTCATAACATAAACACAGCCTAAAGATACTCTTATAACATAAACACAGCCTAAAGATACTCTTATAACATAAACACAGCCTAAAGATACTCTTATAACATAAACACAGCCTAAAGATACTCTCATAACATAAACACAGCCTAAAGATACTCTCATAACATAAACACAGCCTAAAGATACTCTCATAACATAAACACAGCCTAAAGATACTCTCATAACATAAACACTCACTGCACTGCCTCTTGGATGCCCGCGTCATACACTGACGTTTCCAACCACTAATTTAACTAAAACTTTAATCATTTAACCGACGATAACATCAAACAAAAATTCACTGAAAAATAATGTAATGGTTATTACATTTTGCCTCGTGTTGTTGCAGACAGGAAATTGCCATTATAGGACATTATGCAACATTTTGCATCATCACTTGCAACTATTTCTTAAACGCTTGTCAGTTTTTATTTACAAAATGAATCCCTGATTTGAATAGTTTCTTAAATAAATCCTCGGTTTAAATTATTAAACAAAAAGTATTTTTCGCAATTTTCGACATAAATTTATTTTTTTAGCTTCCTCGTAATAAAAGTGGAATACTAACTTCTATTACTGAAGTTCTATAGATCCTAGAAATAAATGCATTACTATCACAACAAAATCTTCTGTATACCATGTTTTTTTGGAAATGTACTATTTCCTAATCTTCCTCTCGAAATATTTACTCAATTTATTGAGACCTGGTTGATACCTGGTTGATGGGGTTCTGGGAGTTCTTCTACTCCCCAAGCCCGGCCTGAGGCCAGGCTTGACTTGTGAGAGTTTGGTCCACCAGGCTGTTGCTTGGAACGGCCCAGGCCCACATACCCACCACAGCCCGGTTGGTCCAGCACTCCTTGAAGAAAACTATTTAATTTTTCTTGAAGATGTCCACGGTTGTTCCCACAATATTTCTTGTACTCGCTGGGAAGATGTTGAACCATCTTTCAACATCAAACATTATCTCTCACTTTTCTCAAGTCCACTCCATCCAGAGAGAAGGTTCTTGAAGGGTTCAACCCCCCCGGTGGTGCAAGTGATTGGGCACCGTTCCGTCACTCTGTCCTCCTTTCCTAGCTCTGATCCCGACCTCTCCCATACCATCCCAGCGTTATGATGCTGGGTGACGCTTTAGGAGGAGGGTGAGCCGTAGCCTCGCTCAGCGCGGGCTACTGGTGCTGCCCTTGAAGCGGAGCTCAGCGCGGGCTACTGGTGCTGCCCTTGAAGCCTCGCTCAGCGCGGGCTACTGGTGCTGCCCTTGAAGCCTCGCTCAGCGCGGGCTACTGGTGCTGCCCTTGAAGCCTCGCTCAGCGCGGGCTACTGGTGCTGCCCTTGAAGCCTCGCTCAGCGCGGGCTACTGGTGCTGCCCTTGAAGCCTCGCTCAGCGCGGGCTACTGGTGCTGCCCTTGAAGCCTCGCTCAGCGCGGGCTACTGGTGCTGCCCTTGAAGCCTCGCTCAGCGCGGGCTACTGGTGCTGCCCTTGAAGCCTCGCTCAGCGGTATAGTTAACTTGGCTCAACGAAGCCGATTGAAATAGTAAAACAGCTAGCTATCAGTTCACTATTTCTGAAAAATTTATTTATATCTATATATATCACATTCACTAGCCTGATGTTGTATGATAGAACACTGCACACAGCTATCATGACACTAGCCAAGTTTGTTACAATGTATAAACAATGATGCTTGGCTTACTTTTTTAACGTATCAATAATAATGATTTACTCTTGGGTTTACTCACGGTTTTTGGTAGGATCACCCCTAAACGTACACAGTACCGTGACCACCGTACCCATGATCATCTATAAGGATTGGTCAGTCTTGGTGCTTATTAACTAAGCTCCACGACTGATCAACCCCCTACCCCACTCATGGATCCATTTGGGATCGGTTTTCATCAAATTCTGGCGCATACACGGGCCGTGCTGAGTTATATATATACATACATACATATATACTTTATATAATAAGATTCCATCCTATTATGCAAAATGATGGTGTTTGTTGGTTGTGGCGTTCCTGCCACACCCTCGCTATGACTCATTACATAATCACCGGGACAGTAGTTTGTGGTCACGCCACCTGCCCCCAGCGGGGGGGGGGGGGGCAGAGAGAGGCTACGTCACGTGACGACCAGTGACGAAGAGACAGTCGACCTTGGACGCTGGCGGGAGGAACGCTGCGGGTCTTGGTAAACTG